TTTTTCAGTTGCAATTTTTTTCACTTTTTCGTTTCTACAATTTTTCGATTTGCATTTTTCCAATTTTTATTTTTTTTTTTCTTTCTTCAATTTAACAACATGCACCTTTTCAAGTTATCATTTTTCAGTTTTTCAATTTTCCAACTTTTGGATTGTTCAATTTTCAGAGATTGCTATTTTTCGATTTACAATTTCTCTAGTTTTCAGTTTTCAATTTTTCGATTTTTCGATTCTTCAATTTTTTATTTCTTCAAATTTTCGATTTGAATTTGTATCGTTTTTTTATTTTCTTTATTTTTACAAGTTTTTCATTTTCCAGTTTAGATTTTGTATATTTTTTTCTTTTATTCGATTTCAATTTCTTCAAGTTTTCATTCTTAAATTTTCCAGCTTTTCAATTTTCCAACTTTTGGATTGTTTAATTTTCAAAGATAGCAATTTTTCGATTTAAGATTTCTCCAGTTTTCAGTTTTAAATTTTTAGATTTTTCAATTCTTCAAATTGTCAATTTGCAATTTTTTGTCGGTTTTAATTTTTGTTTTTAATGTAACAAATTTTGAATTTTTCAGTTTCGTTTTAATGTTTTTTTGTTTTTTCAATTTCAATTTTTCACTTTTTCGTATGTCAATTTTTTCATGTGTAATTTTTCCCTTTTTTATTTTGTTAGAGTTTTCATTTGCAAATTTTTCAGTTTTTCCAATTTCCAACTTTTAGATATTTCGATTTTTAGATGCTGCAATTTTTGGACTTCCAATTTCACGAGTTTTCAAATTTTAATTTTTTTATTTTACGATTTTTCAATTTTTCAGTTCTTCAAATTTTTTGATTTGCAATTTTTTTCCTGCTTTTTATTTTCTTTATTTTTACGAATTTCCGATTTTTCAGTTTCAATTTTTCATTTTTTTGTTTCTTCAATTTTACAACATGCAACTCTCAAATTTCTTAAATTTTCCTGCTTTTCAATTTTCCAACTTTTGGATTGTTCAATTTTCAGAGATTGTAATTTTTCGATTTAATATTTCTCCAGTTTAAATTTTTCGATTTTTCGATTCTCCAGTTTTTTATTTCTTCAAATTTTCAATTTGAATTTTTATCGTTTTTTTATTTTCTTTATTTTTACGAGTTTTCCAATTTTCAGTTTAGATTTTATTTTTTTTGTTTTATTCGATTTCAATTTCTTCAATTTTTCAATTTTCAATTTCATGAGTTTTTAATTCTTCGATTTTTCGATTCTTCAAATTGTCAATTTGCAGTTTTCGTGGGTTTTTATTTTTGTTTTAATTTTACAATTACAAATTTTGAATTTTTCAGTTTTTCTTTCTTCAATTTTACAACATGCAACTCCTGCAGTTTTCATCTGAAAATTTTTCAGTTTTTCTGTTTCAATTTTATATTTTTTTGCTGTTTTTACTTCCCGAGCGTAAGCAAAGGAAGTCTTGTAATCGAGTCCGTCGGCCGACTCTCTACTTTTACGTTTTCTCGATCTTTCATGACCCCTAGAAGACGAAGAAATAGGTCTCCCATTTCCGTCTGTCTGTCCGTCTGTCCGTCTGTCCGTCTGTCCGTCCGTCTGTCCGTCCGTCTGTCCGTCTGTCCGTCTGTTGTCCCGGATTTTTATTAGACAGATAATCTCCGAAAGTACTCGACCGATTGTTGTGAAATTTTGTACTTATATTAAGAATATCATGTAGATGGTAAAACGCTAACCAAAATTTGTCTAATCATCCCCACCACTAATGCGATGACGTCACTTCAAAATTGTACATAGTAAATGGGTTTTCAATTGTATAAAATAACATAGTCCTACACATGTAGTTTACAACTCTGAATCGACTTTTCAGAGTTGTAAATTCAGATTTTTGGAAAAAAAATCAAAATTATAAAGCAACATTTTGAAATTTCATTTTTAATCTGCTAACCAGAATGCTTTGAAATTTTGCAGATGTTTTAAGGCTATAAAGAGCATCATAAATCTTTAGTCAAAAAATATTTGCTTATCCCCTCCAAAAACTTGATGACGTCAGCTCGAAAATTTGCCGAATAAATCATATCTAAAATGTACAAAATATGATGAGTCTGTACTTGTCATTTATCACTCCATTCATATTTTTTGGATTTGCATATACAGGGTGATTCAAGAAAATAAATGAAAGCGTAAATTTATTTTACTGATTTACTCAGGAACTACAAAACCGAATGCTTCGAAATCCTGAAGGTATTTTAAAATTATCATAAGCATGGTGAATTTTTGATCAAAACGTATTTGGTCGTCCCCCCTAAAAAATTTATGACGTCACCACAAAATTTTGCTGAATAAATCCTATCTAAAATGTACAAAATATGGTGAGTCTCTTCTTGTGATTTATCATTCCATTCAAATTTTTTCGATTTGCACATACAGGGTGACTCAAAAAAATTAATGAATGCTTAAATTTATTTTATTGATTTAATCAGGAACTACAAAACCGAATGCTTTGAAATCTTGCAGATGTTTTAAGGTTATAAAGAGCATAATAAATTTTTAGTCAAAATATATTTGGTTATCTTCTACAAAAAACTGATGACGTCAGCTCAAAAGTTTGCCGAATAAATCGTATCTAAAATGTACAAAATATGATGAGTCTGTACTTGTGATTTATCATTCCATTCATATTTTTGGATTTGCATATGCACGGTGACTCAAAAAAATTAATGAAGGCGTGAATTTATTTTATCGATTTAATCAGGAATTACAAAACCGAATGCTTTGAAATCTTGGGAATATTTTAAAGTTATTATAAGCATGGTAAACTTTTGTTCAAAATGTATTTGTTCATCCCTCCTAAAAAAATTGATGACGTCACCCTTAAATTTTGCTGAATAAATCCTATCTAAAATGCAAAAAATATGATGAGTTTGTACTTGTGATTTATCATTCCATTCATATTTTTTAGATTTTCTTAAGAGGTGGTTCAAAAAAATTAATGAAGTCAATTTATTTTATTGATTAAATTAAAGGCAACACTTATTATTAGTATTACACCCCAACCAACCCAATTTGGTAGACACAAAATTTGTTAAAGGAAAAACTCGGTTGAAACATAAGGGTAGCACGCTTATTTACATCGACTTTAACATTACAGACCTGCATTTGTTTTATGCGCTCACTTGGTTCCGCGAATGTGAAATAGACATGTTTATAATCAACCAATTGTGAATTTCACCGTCAAGAATTAAAATAAAACCCAATGTTTTATATAATAAGCGGAAGTCGAAGCAATAAAACCGATGGTCGTTTTGTTTACAGTTTCTCTGTTTGACTCTCACGTATGCTGTTACGCTTGTCATCTTAAATTAAGAATGTATATACATAAACGATTTTCAGTTGCCTCTCATATTACTAGACAGGGGATTTCTGTCGGGCTACGTCACGATTATAGGTGGGGACGCGCTGGATCGCCGGGACTCAATAGCGGGTGATAGATAATCACTGAATTTAATTGGTACTAATTCCATAAATATAATTAACGATTTATTAATCAAACGGCTAAGTAAATGAGAACGGGAATTAACAGCAGAGTGCAACGAAACAGCGTTATTCTAATCTCAAATAAACGAAGTGCAGTCCGCAACCGCAATTAATTCGCATCCCGTACGAGCCGTACCCAGTTTGGCCTTGCCCAGCCCGACAGAAATCCGCTCTCTAGATATTACACACCGGCGCCGTATACCTGAGTAAATTGTTTCGTTATTTTATTGATTATAAGAAATTAATATTCAAAACGACCCAATTCATTTTCCCGAAAATTTGGGAATACAATAATTTTATTCTTAGTATTACACTACATCTATCCCAACTGATATACGTGTCCTTGCAAAAATGTTGATGACGTCATCACAATTTTTTTTAAATTCCCACTACAAAAATGTAATGAGAAAAAAAACACAATAAGCATGCAGTCGTCAAGTTTCCGACAGCGAGGGAAGTACTGTCTAAACTCTTTAGACCAATTTTTTCAATTTCAATTTTTCACTTTTTCGTGTCTTCAATTGTTCGATTTGCAATTTTTCACTTTTTCTTTTTTTTTGTTTCTCCAATTTTACAACAAGCAACTCCTCGACTTTTCATTTTAAATTTTTTTTCAAACTTTAGGATGTTTCAGTTTTTTTTTTTTTCAATTTTTTATTTACAATTTTTCTAGTTTTTATTTTAAATACGTAATAATAATTACAATTCTTAAAATTTTTCACTCTTCCAATCCTTCAATTTTAGAATTTTTCCGTTTTTCATTTATTCGATTTTTTGATACTTAATTTTTCAATTTTCGATCTTCAAATATTACAATTTCTTGACTTTACAATTTTGATGATTCTGTAATTTTTTAATTTCATAATTTTTGGTTTTCCAGTTATTCGATGAGATTCATTTTTCGTTGTTTCCATTTTTTCGATTGATTAATTTTTTTCGCATTTTTAAGATGTTTCGATTTCTCGTTCCTTCAGTTCTTCGATTTCCTACTTTTTCGTTGTTTTGTTTTCAAATCAAAAAGATGGAAATATTGCAAAATTGTAAAATTGAAAAATCAGAAATGAAAAAAACAAAAAAGGATAAAATGAAAACGGATTATAGAGCACGAACGGTTTCATCATCACTATCTTAAATGCAGTTCGGTTGACATCAATTTCTGGTGGTAAAATTTCATTTTCAATAACCGTCAATTTTTGACGTGACTTCCTACACCATAAACAATTATTGTATTTTCACCGAATATTCCAAATATATTTTTCTTGTACACCCGTTTTTATATTGATTTTTATATTTCGTGTAACTGGCTGTTGTACCTATGAACAATAAATTTATCCTCAACCTGTTTTAAACCCCACAGCGTCGACACATTTTAACTCCTAGGCAAAAAATTCGCACGTTAAAATACCGATCGTGGAAACCTCGCTAAAAATTTGAAAACCATGAACCTTTCAACACCTTAGCAAACACGTAATAAATCACCCGAATCACTCACCTTTCTGCTTGACGACGATCGGCGGCGGTTTGGTGGCGGCTCCGCCCCTCTTCTGCCTGAACGCCCCCGCGCCCAGCATCACCCACACCGTCGCGATGACCGCCACCAGCACCAGGATGGCGACGCACGTCAATCCTGTGGTGCACCGGTGCCTCAGCTTGGAGCTCATAATCTCATTCACTCTATCTAAACGAAAAAAAATCGTTCGTTAAAATACGCCTGGTCTGGCTTCTGTTGACCCAGATCTCACCTAAAATACACGATTATCTGTTGGAGACTCGCGAAATTAATAGATTCGTTCGGAAGTCTGCTGTGGCGGAGGTTGTTGGTTGCTGAACCATTGTTTGACGAAGAGCGGACGAGTTCGGAGCTGACGCGCGAACACGCACTTAGCACATTTTCAACAGAAACCTGAAAGAAACAATTTTTGGTAGAGAGGAGATAAGAAGGGCGTTAGCATCGTTTCACTGTTTTCTCGGTTAGTGGTTATTTACCCGTTATTTCGGTGACAGTTTAATGGTGTTTGAGGGGAAGGGAGGGGAAGCGATGTGATAAAACATACTGTTTGTTGCGTGGTCTCGTGTTTGTTTGGAGCATGGTGTCAAAAAATAGAGCTTTTCTACTCACTATATAGAAAATGGGATTTTCTTCCCTCATTTAAGAGCACAAAGAGTCACTTTACCTCCCGGTCAAAAATGACGTTTATAATTTATAAACTTGCTACTTCTAAAACATCTGGACGGGTACAATTACACCGTCGAACAATTTTAGAAAAAATTCTTGTTACAACCATTCTGACCATGTATTCTGAAAGGTTATTTTGTGCTGAATAACTATCGAATAAGACATTATACCTACGTCGTCAAAAATTATTTTTTTTTGGAAATTGTTCATAGATAGTTCCAGTTAAAGGTGTACTATTGCATAATGGGAATAAATATCTAGGACTTCATACTCCATACAAACTGCAGAAACATATGAGAATATTCAACACTTGTTAAACTGTATTAACGACAAAAAGTTTGAGTGCAATTTGATAGGCGATAAGGAAAATTTTCATTTAAGGGGGAACGCTGGACGAGAGACAAGTTTGAATTGGGCCCCATTTGTTGCTTTAAACGCAACCAGCAATTCTTCTTTAAATCTACCTGACGCGCTGGGATAGACGACTACCGGACGTGGGTCAAAAAAGCATCGTAAGCCGATAATGCAGAATAATGATAATTTATGACAGGCGACCCACAACATATATTCAGCACAGAATAATCAGTTCTCGTATTCTTTTGACACATTAATTTTAATATTCGAGATAATTATTATATTATTCAAACACAATTTAGACACTGTAGAGCAAACAAGGCTTATCAAGCCCATCTATTAGTTTATTCGCCTAAATGTATTATTAATACCGTTTTCAAATTACACCAAAATTGAAAAATCGAAAACTTAATAATTGAAAAATTGAAACATTTTAAATGAAAAAAATCGGTAAACCGAAAAATTGAAAAATCTATAAATCGAGAAATTGAACAATCTAAAAATTAATCAATTTAAAAATCGAACAATTGGAAAACCAAAAAATCTAAACCGAGAACTTGACAAATCGAATAATCGAGAAATCAAAACATCAAGGAAAACAAAAAAATTAACAGAAAATCTAGAACTTAAAAATTGAAAAATTAAAATACCTATCGAAAAATTGAAAAACCGAGAAATCGAAACATCAAAAAATGGAAAAATTGAAGAACCGAAACATTGCAAAATCTCAGAACTGAAATACTGAAAAACTGAAAAATGGAAGGAAAATTGAAAAATCGAAAAAGTGAAAAAAATCAAAACTGAAATCTTGAAAAACTGAAAAATGGAAAGAAAATTGAAGAATCGGAAAAGTGAAAAAATCCAAAACTGAAACATTGAAAAATCCAGAAATCGAAAAATTGAAAAATCACAATTGAAGAAAGAATTGAAAAATCAAGAAATAGAGAAATGGGAAAATCAAAAAATCAGTTAATCGAAAAATTGAAAAATCGAAAAATTTAGAAACCTCAAAAATTGAAAATTGAAAAATAAAAAAATTTAAAACTCGTAAAACTGAAATATCGTAAAGTTAATAAATTGAAAAACTGAAAATTTTTGAAAAAAAAAATCGTATCAAAAACTAAAAATTCAAAAAATCGAGAAATTGAACAATCAAAAAATCAAAACATTGAAATCCCGGTAAGTTGATAAATAGGAAAATTTAAAAAACAAACATTTTTAAAAATCGTAGTATTGAACAACAAAAAAAATCTAAGCCTGAAAACTCAGAAAGTTGAATGATCGAGAACAAAAAATCTATAATTTAAAAATTCGACAAATTGAAAAATCATGGAACTGAAAAATCGAAAAGTCGAGATAGTGAGACATCTAAAAACCTAAAACTTTAAAAACTGAAAAATTAAAATATCGAAAAATTTAAAAACCGAGAAAACACAATATCAAAAATTTGAAAAATTGAAGAAACGAAATATTGCAAAATGCCAAAGCTGAAATATTGAAAAACCTAAAAATGGAAGGAAAATTAAAGAATCGAAATAGTGAAAAAATCCCAAACTGAAATATTGAAAAATTGAGAAATGGAAAAATGGGAAAATCAAAAACATTGGTCTAAAGAGTTTAGACAGTACTTCCCTCGCTATCGGAAACGTGACGACTGCTTGCCTATTATGTTTTTTTTTACATTAGATTTGAAAGCATTCGGTTTTGTAGTTCCTGATTAAATCAATAAACTAAATTTGCGCATTAATTAAATTTTTTGAGTCACCCTGTATATCCGAATCCAAAAAATATGAATGGAATGATAAATTACAAGAAGAGACTCATCGTATTTTGTAAATTTTAAATAGGATTATACGGCAAACTTTTGAGCTGATGTCATCAATTTTTTGGAGGGGATAAGCAAATATATTTTGACTAAAAATTTATTATGCTCTTTATAACCTTAAAACATTTGCAAGATTTCAAAGCATTGGGTTCTGTAGTTCCTGATTAAATCAATAAAATAAATCTGCGCATTCATTAATTTTTGGGGTCATCCTGTATATGCAAATCCAAAAAACATGAATGGAATGATAAATCACAAGAAGAGACTCATCATATTTTATACAATTTAGACAGGATTTATTCAGCAAAATTTTGAGGTGACGTCATCAATTTTTTAGAGGGGATAAGTAAATATATTGTGATTAAAACGGTCCTGGTTTAATAACAAAAAAATATTGTTCGCCTATAAAACAAGCTCGTCTTAGACAAGGTATTCGTAAAAAAAATATGTCGTAAAAAATTTACGTATGCTGGTCCCGACTGCGATTATGGTTTAAATATTTCTTAGATATCCTGTCATGGATGTAGAAACATTTGTGACAGCCAAAAAGGTTTTTTTGAGAAAATTATCTTTGAATTTAGACCAAATTGAAATAGACACTTGGCAACAGGCACATTTGGGCAAAAGAAAGAGAAATTAGGGTTACGGCTTCAAATTTTGGACGCATTTACAAACTTAGACCGACTACAGCAATAGCTAAAACTGTGGAGTCTCTGTTGTATAGTACATTTAGAGGTAATAGTCATACATACTATGGACAGCAAAGTGAGGAAAAAGCTGTCAAGTGTTTTGAAATAAATAAAAATATAAAAACTGAACGGTGTGGCTTGTTTATTTCAAAACAATTTCCTTACTTGGCTGCTAGTCCAGAGAGGGTTCTAGAGGATAGAAGTGCATTAGTCGAAATTAAATGCCCTTCAAGATCGCAAGATTTGTCTCTTGAAGAAGCGGTTAGAAAAAAATAATCAAATTTTGTACATTGACAGACAGAGAATTGAAACTAAAAAAAAATCATGATTACTACTTTCAAGTCCAGGGACAAATGCTTGTTACGGGTATTTCACAAGTTTATTTTGTTGTATGCACACCCAAAGGAATAAATATAGAAAAAATTAAATAAAGACGAAGAAATATATGTAAAAAGATGTCAGATAAACTTGGCAGATTTTACTTTGGCGCATTATTGCCCGAAATAATTGATTTAAGAAGAAAGAGGAACCTGCCTTTGCGAGAGATTTTTTTAAAATAAATAAAATTTGTTTCTATTTTTTTATGTACTTTAATAATTTATTAGGAGTACATTTTTCATCACCAAGACTTGCATATTTTTATTGTAAATATATTTTGAAAATGATCTCTGGGCAAATGAAAACATATACGAGCACTTTTTTCGAGTAAACAATGAAGGGAGAAGTTACTGGGCGTAGGGCTTTTTTAAAACACCTTCTTTCTGGGATAAGTAGTAGATACACTTAGCTATTTATACGTGTTTAACAAAAGCTGTATTTTATATATTTTTTATTATTATTATAAATATGTTTATCAGTTTTATTAATTAACAAAGCAAAATATATATTAACAATAGTATTACAATGAATTTTTAGTAATCATGTGTATTGAATTCAGGATCCTGAGTGGAGTAAAAATATTACAGTTCCCCAGTTTTAATTCGGTTTTATGATAGTACCTCATTGCGTAAAAGTTAATTTCCTTAACAATAGATTGGCGGCTTGTTATAAAACTGAGTTCCTCGCCATAAATTAGAAAAATCAGCCGAGAACTCTAACAATCAGCTTATGCTAGAGCAGGCGATAAGGGTTTTACCTATAAAGTCGCTTCCGTAAATTTTAGTGGCGAATGAATTTTCAAGCGATTCTATGATGGTTATGACTCAAAAAACTTGAAAAGAAAACATACAATGGTGCTTTTTTTACGATATTTCTCAGCCATATTTTTTTAGTTGATTGAACTGGTCTCTGCGCTCTAGAATATGAAAAAAGCTGCAGTTTGATGTATGATACATCTATATTAATATCGTTTTTTCATACAAAAAAGCAAAAAAATGTTATACCTCGTCTAGCGAGTCCCCTTAAGTTTTGTCTGTTCACGCCTGAATATCTCTGCATAGGCAACCCATTTTACGTTTCATAAACAGCTTTGATTAATTTTTATTTTTAAATAATATTGAACACATAGATAGCAATGATCAGAACCAAAATTATGACAAATTATTTCTGTCAGCCAAATATTCTTTTCAATTTTCGTTTGCTTTAAAATGTTTTTGAATTATGAAAATACAGATATGCTGTTAATATTGAGAAAGTGTGACAAAAAATTTGATGCTCCTGTTCGTCTCTACGCCAGGCAATATCCCAATAGAAGAGCTCTCTCAAATCAAGCGTTTAGAAAACTTGAAAAAATTTGAATTCGTGAGGGCTCAATTACGAGACAATCAAGATTTATTATTTAACGTTTTGTTTACAGATGAAACCACATTTACCAATAACGGATGTGTAAACAGACACAACTCACATTGCTATGCCCAGCA